TATGAATCTATCAGTTTGGCTGCATATTTTGTGTTGTGAATAAATCCAAGGTCTCTTATCAGCTCTCACATAGCTTCATGGGTTGCACACCATAGTGCCCTCATTATTACTCCTAATTTGATGCCTATCACATAACTATATCCATATTAATTCTAGTAGTTAAGTGATCTATTTGAGTTTTCTATGATCTTGTCATCTCCTTCACCCATGAGGAATTTAAGGTCTCCTATAATGCTTGCTACCACACTCCAACTTTAGTGAATTGGCTCTATTGAGAGTCTCCGGGATGAAGCTGGTGACCTTACCCACTCTTATCACCTCAGTAAGCAGAGCACCTCCTGTGCCACTCAGGAAACAACCTGTTGGTTTGGGGGGCCTTAAGAATAGATCTGGTCTTTGCACATATGATTGTGCCCATTTCATTGTGACTTCCATATTATTTTCCCACAGTGGAGAGAGAGAGAGAGAGAGAGAGAGAAATTTAAAAAAGACTTTCATGAACAAAACCCATCTACCATGCCAAGTAGGTTGACCAGGCTCCAGGAGATGGACCCACACAGAAGAGTATTCTTGGAACACAAATTAGACTTGACTTGATAGGCCTTAAAAGCAGTAGAGGACATGAAGTGAGTTGGTAAAGAGGTGTGTACCACCCTGTGTAATGAAAGACATACAGCTCAAGTAGATTTTACATAAATTTGTGTGTATACACTGGATTGTAATTATTAATTTTCTTTCTCTAGACAATTGGTAAAATTTAGTAAGGAGCACATAGAGTGGTATCTCTTCTGGTTTGGGGTTTCTTCTTTTTTAATATTTATTATTTTTATTTTAAGTGTATGAGTGTATTGCCTGCATGTATGTGAGCGCACCTGTGTCGTGCAATGCCACGGAGGTCAGAAGAGGGCTTCGGATTCCCTTGGAGCTGGAGTTAAGGATGGCTCTTAGCTGCCATGTGGGTTCTGAGAATCGAACCCAGGTCTTCTGCAAGAGCAGTCAGTGCTCGTAACCACTGAGCCATCTCTCCAGTCCCTGGGGTTTCTTCTTTGAAAAAATCCCTGGTGTTCTAGGTACAGCAAGTTCACTCAGTGCTTGATTCTCTTTTGACCCGTTTCATTGCTGTGGTTCAGTTCCTGTTGTTATTAGTGACCTAAAATAGCAAAGAAGATTATTGACATTGCAGTCTACAGTGCTCAAAGTTCAGGGGCTATAACTCAGAGTCATTTTCTCTAGTATTTAAATACCACCTTAGAAATGTTATTATTTTTGTACTCTCTGAGCACTATTGAAATTGACACAAATACATGACATGTGGATTTTTAAAGGTGGGTCTTAAATTTTACTGCCCATTGGGATCATCTGAGGAGCTTCATAAAATGTGGAAATGCTGGGCCAAATTCAGACCAATTAAATGAAAAGTATTCTGCAGAGGAGTCAGGTATTGTTACTTATACCTGTGCCCAGGTGGTTCAATTCTGCCGTGGGTAAGGACAGGTAGTTTAGAGGGTTAGGACTATGTGTGCATTGGTCATCAGTGAGAATTTTCTGTGTGTTTTTAACTGCAGGGAAAGGGCTTTTTAAAATTTCCCTGAATTTAAATAGAAACTTCCCTACTGATAATCATAAAGTCTTTCCCAATATCTTTATCTTCTTCTCTGTCCCTGTTATAATGTAAACCTAGAAGGAAAAAAATTCCTAATTTGAGATGTGTCCTAGTTTAAACTGTTCATAGTTTCTAATTTATAACCATGAGCCTGTGAAAAGCATGTAAATTAATGTCTGCTAAGCAAGTAAATATGATAGAAAATATTACAACAGGCTTGGTCATTAAATGGTCTTAATTAAGACATTTAATGGTGTCATCACATAGTTACCATCGAGCCTCTGCCTGATTCCTTACCAAGAGATGCTGAATGATAAACTGGCTGCATTCCTCATTTTTAGAAACCCTAATAATTTGGCCACTTGGATGGGATTTCTTCACCCTTTAAGTCATTAATATGTCCCCACTATAAATAAATATAAGCTGATATCCTTTCAGGGAGATCTGTTTTTATCACCCTTTCCTTTTCAAATAATATTTTTTTACTGATTCTTTTAAGAATTTTACACAAAATACTTTTTATCATATCCAGACCCCCTCCCCCAGCTCCCTCAGATTCACACCACCCCCTACCCTCCCTCGCTTTATGTCTTCTATTATTTTTTAAGGCCTATCAAGTTTAATTTCTGTTCCTCGATTGCTCATGAGTATGAGTCCATACCCTGAAGCCTGGTCAACCTACCCAGTATCACATCGCTAAAGAAAACCGAGTCTCCCTTTCTCCCTGCAGCTATCAATTGACAATAGTTCCTCAGCTAGGGCTGGACCTTCTTTCTCGCCTCCCCTTCCATGCTGGAACTTTTTCTGACTTGGGCTTGTGCATGGTCTCACAAACGTGGATTCATACATGTAATTTCCCAGTTGTTTATGGAAAACATGATTTCCTTGTATTCACCCACCACTTCCGTTTCTTATAATCTTTGTGCCCCATCTTCTGCAATGATCCCTGAGTGCTGGAAGTGATATGGGTGTTCCATTTAGGACTGAACACTCTGCAGTCTCCTATTTTCCACACATTAACCAGTTGTGGGTCTCTGTGTTAATCACCATCACCGTCTGCTGCAAGAAGAAGCTTCTTTGGTGATACTTGAGAGATGCTTTAATCTGTGGATATAACAGTAGGCCATTAGGAGTCAGTTTAATACTATGCCCACATAGCAAAATAATAGTACTAGGTTCTCCCCTATGCCTATGACTTATGTAACCGCAGGGTCTTGGTCCTGATATCAGTGCCAGGTATGGGCTCTCTCTTGTGAAGCAGGCCTTAAATATAATCTGAAAGTGGTTGACTACTCTCATAACATTTGTGCCACTGTTGAACCAATGGACATATCTTGCCAGAACAGTTATTGTTGTAGCTTGCAGGGTTCACATCAGAGTAATGTTGATTATTTTTCTCTTCCAGCTGCATGTCTAGCATCTTACAGTACTTTGAAAGCTAGGCAGTTGAGATGAAACCTTGAAGTCAGTACCAGCTTGATTTTTCCATGTTTGTTCTACGACTCAAGGAAATAGTGGCTTCAGCAATAAGGTTGTATGATAAAGTTCTGGAGGGCAACCAAGGGCAATGCAGTAGCCAGCATTGCTTGAAGATCTATGGATCATCCCCCCCCCCCCCGACTTTTTTTTGGTTTTTTTTGGACAGGGTCTCCCTGTAGCCCCAGCGGTCCTGGAACTTACTGTGTAAACCAGGCTGGCCTTGAACTCACAGAGATCTGCCTGCCTCTGCCTCCCGAGTGCTGGGATTAAAGGTGTGCGCCACCATGCCTGGCCTGGATCATCCCTTTTTAACAGATTCAAAAGAGGAAATCGATTCCTGGCACTGGGCTTTTAAAAAAATATTTTATTTATTATGTATTGAATGTATTGCCTGCATGTGTGTAAGTGCACCTATGTCCTACAATTCCTGGGGAGGTCAGAAGACGGCATCGGGTCCCCTGGAATTGAAGTTACTGATTGTTGTTAACCACCATCTGGTGCCCTGGGAATTGAACCTCAGTCTTCTGTAAGAGCAGTCAGTGCTCTTAACCTCTGAGCCATCTTTCCAGCCCCTACATTGGGCTTTTTATTTGCTAACCTTTCATGTCTGGTAAGGGCATTGTCCCCCTGTCATAGAGTAATTCCATTTGATATACTTTTTAGTAAATGTATATATGTTAAGAAGCTTCTATAGTATTAGGTTTCCATTAGACTTTTCAAAAGGTTTTTGGCATTAGTTACCCCTCCCTATGTTTCCTCCTCTACCCTGCTCCCCCCCCTTTTTTTTAAACCACAATTGTCAATAGTTCCTCAGCTAGAGCTGGACCTCTTGCCTACCTCCGTCTCCATATTGGGATTCTGTCTGGTTTGGGCTCAAGCATGTTCTCACAAGTGTTGTGGATTAACATGTATATCATATGTTTGATCCTTCCCATCCCATTATTCCCCTCTCCCAATTGATATCACTGCATGCTATCTCCCCTCCCAAGAAGTCCCCATTTTCTTAAGGAGAGATCCAAAGGGTGAAACAGATGCAGCCTGGATATCTGTAGGAGTCAGAACCTCAACAGATGCAGAGGGCTCAGGTGAACTAAGAACAAGAGGCAACGTCTTGATCGCCTAATTGAGTAAATCCCAGGAAATAGAAGACATGGGTCATCAGTTTACATTAAAGAAAGACAGTTTGCCAAAGAAAGAAGGAAAATGAGTCCATAAGGCAAAACTAAGGAGCCTAAACTTTAAGGACTAGCTAAGCACTGTCACCTATTCCCCCTGAGTCCCTAAAATTGAATTTCAGAGTTTCAACATTTCATCATCTAAATTTTTGCTGGAACGTGGTGTTTCTCCTTTTAAAAGTCTAGAAAATTATGCATGGGTAGGGGACATGTCGATGGACTTCCTATTCTCATGCCTCTGTTCTTTTGCTCTCCAACCCTTTGAGGCCACGAGACTTATTATACGTGACCCATCAGAATATACAGCTTTATATTTCTGCCATTACCAGAAACAATTATAGGTCTGTAGGAATCACGATTACCTAAAATTAAACTGTTAAGCCATATATCGTGAGATTGCAGCATACAGTAATGAGACACAATGTCATGTGACATTTCTTTGGACAAAAGTGAAGCATGAAAAACATTTAGGAGACAGTTCAGCAAGAGCTGATGATGAATCGTTAGCACACCAGGAAAATAAATCATGTTTTCTGACCACCTTGCAAATTTAACCAGGAAAAGAAACTTGCCTAATTTCATAATCACCTATTTACTAGCATAAACAATAACAAGAAAAGAATGTTGCATGTGTGGACAGCAGCCCTTTATCAGGGTATAAAAGGGGATGTGGAGCAGGGAGATTTCCAAACCTTCCAAACAACCTTTTCGAAAACCACCAAGAACTAATACCCTCCGACACCATGGTCAGCTCCTGTTGTGGCTCTGTCTGCTCTGAGCAGGGCTGTGGCCAAGGCTGCTGCCAGGAGAGCTGCTGCCAGCCCAGCTGCTGCCAGCCCACCTGCTGCAGGACCACCTGCTGCCGGCCCAGCTGCTGTGTGTCCAGCTGCTGCAGGCCCCAGTGCTGCCAGTCTGTGTGCTGCCAGCCCAGCTGCGGCCGCCCCAGCTGCAGCCGCCCAACTTGCTGTGTGTCCAGCTGCTGCAGGCCCCAGTGCTGCATCTCCAGCTGCTGCCGCCCCTGCTGTGGTGGTTCCAGCTGTGGTGGATCCAGCTGCTGCCGCCCCACTTGCTGCGTGTCCAGCTGCTGCAGACCCACTTGCTGCATCTCCAGCTGCTGCCGCCCCTGCTGTGGTGGATCCAGCTGCTGCCGCCCTTCCTGCTGTGTGTCCAGCTGCTGCAGACCTATCTGCTGCCAGACCACCTGCTGTAGGACCACCTGCTGCCGTCCCACTTGCTGCGTGTCCAGCTGCTGCAGACCCACTTGCTGCATCTCCAGCTGCTGCCGCCCCAGCTGTTGTCAGACATGCTGCCGCCCAGCATGTTCCAGTGGTTCCTGCTGCTGAGCACTTCCTCCCACACTCTCCTGTTCATCAACCACCAACATTCTTGATGTAGACCCTTGGTGAGCAAAATCCTGAGAAGCTAGTCATAAAGCCTCTGTCCACACAACTGAAATTTATTTTGGACTCCAAATATACTGTCCTCAGTCCTGCCTGTTTACTATCTCTACAATGTACACAAATTGGAATTTTCTCTGAAATCTGTAAACTCTCACCTTATCTCCAAGGAACAGTGTATATTGTACCTTGTTATTTTTAAAAATGAAGATTTTCCTGTATCTCAAATAAAGATGAATTTTGCAGGCAAACAAATGTCTATAGTGTCTCCTTATCCTCCTCTTGAATTGTTTTCCTTTTTGTGGAGTTTGAAGCCAATCCCTAAATGCAAAGATAGTGTATGAACTCAGGTATGTCAGCTCCATCTCTTGGCACTCCTCCTCCTCCTACACAGCACCATGGTTCCACATGCTTGGAACTCTCTGCTGAGAACTTTCTCTGGTTGAAGAAGAGGCAGGAGATAGCAGAGTTGAAGTTCCTAGCCACAGGCTTCGAGCCGTGGGAGAGAGTGGGTGAGCACACCCTCTTCCTCATTCAGTCAACTGAAAATGTGTCAGTTTTCTCTGGATCTTCATTGACATGGAGCCTAGCTGATTCTAGGATGTTCTGCCCATGTTATTTTGTACTGACTTCCCTCCCTGACTTATATCATTTCCCAATACATTCTGGAATCATTTCCCTGGTAAGCTATTTTGTCTTAACAGCCTGAGTAAAGGCCTGCCTAGGGGACAGTCTAACACTCTTGTGTTCCTTGCTTAGTGTCACCTCCATCCCACACATTTTAAATATACTATGGAGAGCTTCATGGTGCCAGAATCAAGTCTTGGTTTTGCAATCAATTGAAACATAAATCTTCTGAACATTTTTCCTATTTGTTGATTTGTTTGTTCATTTCATTTTTATATTCTAGATATTAGTCCTCTGTGCAATGAATAGCCGGTAAGGATTTTCCCCATTTTACAGACTATCTCTTCTTCCAATTTTTGGACAAAGTCTATACAGGAGACTAGTTGTCTCCCTGTAGCCTTAGCTGGCCCGAATCTCACTAGCAATAGACCACACTGGCCTAGATCTCACAGAGATCCGCCTGCCTCTACCTCCAGAGTGTGAGTCACCACATCCATCAAATTAAGGTTTTTGGGTATATTTCAAATAATTTCTTCTGTCTAGAGCGGAGTGGTAAGGATGGAACTTCAGTTTTCTATCTGTGGGCCTCCAGTTTACCCAGCAATATATGTTAAAGAGATCTTCATTTCCAAAATATGTTTATAATACCTTTGTTTAAATTCAGAAGGCTGTAGGTGTGTGGGCTTATTTCTGGGTCTTCTGTTATATCCATTGGTCTACATGTATGCCTGCCTTCATGCCAATACCATCCTGTTACAGTTAACATGCCTTACTGGATAATTTGAGACCAGGTTTGATACCCCCAAAAAATAATTCAATGAGAAAGAAACCAGTAACACAATTCCATTAATAAAACCACCCTCTACTCTAAATAAAACACTAAAGATTAAATCTAACCAAAGATGTGATAGACCTTTATAATGAAAATTATAAAACACTGAAGAATATTTGAAAAAAAGACGTCAGATGTTAGAAAGATGCCTCAAGCTCGTGAATCATCCAAATTAATATCATGACAACTGCCACATTACCAAATTCCATCTACAGTCTATGCAATTCCCTTAAAATTCCAATGAAATATTCCTCAGATCTTTATAAAACAATTCTAAAATTTATACAGCACAAAATATCAGGACTATACAAGGCAGTCTTGAGTAGAAAGATGACTTTTTTTTCTATTTATTATCAGTATATCCAAGTCTTGGGGAAAATGGCCATAGGAAAAGCTTTTCCTGTTAAGGATACTGTGTTTAAAGAACTATGAGTCTAAAGTGTCAAGAGAGAGCACTGATTTAAAGTATGCAAATTGCCACTGGAGGTGGTGATGCATGACTTTAGTCCCAGCACTTGGGAGCCAGAGGCAGGTGGATCTCTGTGAGATGGAGACCAGCATGGTCTACATAGCAAGTTCCAGGCCAGCTGGGGCTACAGGGTGAAATCTGTAATATATTGAGACAAGCAGGTTAAGGAAGTAGAAACAGCTGAGCCAAAATGCATTTAGAGTGAATTCTACCTTACTTGACCCACTAACGATCCCACAGCCCTTTTTCTACTGGAGACAAGTTGGCTAAACCTTTATCTTACTACTCAGTTATCACCAGCTGTAGCCACCCTGAGCAGGAGGAGAAAGGCAAGCAGGGTGGACATCGCTACAGGAAATGGCACAATTGGCTGAAGACAACTACCTGGGAACAGAGCTTGTATGCAGTCTAAGTTATGTGTGTGTGCTCTCATACTAGCTGAAGGATGGGGAGCTTAAAGGGACAGTAAGTTGGATCAGCAGCCAAGGGCCAAGCCTGATCTGAGTTCCACATAGTGGAAGGAGAGAAAGAACTGATTCCCACAGATTATTCTCTGATCCCCACCACAACTCCCAGTCACTGACCCCTCACATCCTGGCATACATGCTGAGGTGGTAGCACTCCACTATGGCGGTCACTGATTGGTAAGATACAAGATCTTATGGTCAGCTGTTCATTTGCCCCACATTGTTTCCTACACATAGGCACTGACCCCTCACATCCTGGCATACATGCTGAGGTGGTAGCACTCCACTATGGGGGTCACTGATTGGTAAGATACAAGATCTTATGGTCAGCTGTTCATTGCCCCACATTGTTTCCTACACATGGGGTCTTTTGATCCCAGGTACAGTTATTCAGAATTCCATGGTGCTAGTTCAAATTTTCTGAAGCCCCCATATTATGGTGCTGAATGAGTCACTGTAAACTGAGTTAGGCAGACTCTTTCCAAGACTGAATGTCAACCCCAGTCAGAAGAACACAACAGGATGGTGCCCTCATGGGAGATGATACCTTATTAGGGGCTCCATGTTGGTCTCCTGTTGGCAGGTCAGGATTTCAGCAGAGGCTGTCCTTGTGTCCTCTGCTTTGGGCCCCTGAATAGACCAGCATTATGATGGTTAACATTATAATAAACTTGACAAGATCTAGAATTACCTAGGAGGCGAGCCTCTGGGCATGCTCTCAAAGGATTATCTAGATTAGGCCAGTTGAAGTGGGAAGACTCATCTCTGCTGTGGGCAGCACCACTCCATGGGCTGGGGTCCTGGGCGGAATGGAAAGGAGAAAGTGAACTGAGCACCAGCATCCATCGCTCTCTGCTTCCTGACTGCAGATACAATGTGGCCAGCTACTTCAAGATCCTGTCATTGTGAGTTCCTCACCATAATGAACTGTACTCTCCAACTACGAGCCCAAAGAAGTCCTTCCCTCCTGAAGGTGCTTCTATTGGGTATTTTGTGCCCACAACAAGATACATAACTAATACAAGAATGGAAGCCCATGGGATATCTGTCATTTATCTCCCATTTTCTGGAGCACAGGTATCTTATTGAAGTACTCAGAGCATGACGGTTCTTGTTCATCTGTATGACTAACAGGGCATCATACGTATTTTGGTCATCATGATATTCTGTAGGCTGTCCTAAAGTCTGTATCATTTTGAACTGTGCTGTGACAGAAAGCAGGACAATTCACATAGCCTTGGTCAGGGCAATGAATTTATACTTTGCCCATCACACATTATCTGGATGCATCCTTGGGAATTTCAAAATAGGCATTTGCCAGTTCAGTTTCCCCATCTCATACAAGAGAACCTTCTTGCATCATGACACCACTTCCATCACATCAGCTCCACTGGATATTTTATTTGACAGATCTAGAGGTCATCCCTGTCACCTCCTAAGATCATTTGCTTTTTGTGATAGATAAACTAGTAAAACTATGGAAATATGACAAGATTCATATTCATTGTATTTTTTTAGTCTTTGAAGGTTGCTCTAATCTCTGATGTTTATTTACTGATGTGAATGGGAGATGGCAGTGAGGGATGGGTAGTTCCAGGGGCTTCACTTCGCCTTTCTCTATTGTAATATTTGTTACACCATAGCTCAGAGAAAGAGTATATTGTAGCTTACATTTGCGAACTGTCTGAGCCATCATCAGGTATGGCCATAGACCCAGTGCACAGATCATTAGACTAACCTCAGCCTAGACTCCATTATCTCCTGATCCCCATGGACATATTCAAATACATAAATATTCTGCTTTCCCCTGAAGAGTCAGTTGCTTCAGGAAATGACTGAAATTATTTCTATATATACTTGCTGTGATCCTTAAACCTTTCCAGTTGGTTCTTAAGTCTGAGAGCCGTATCTGGATTAAAATCTGGAGAAAATTACATGATTTTCCATTAGAACAAAGCAGTTCATCCACTTGCTCATTTATTTGTAAATACCCTTAAATACACATGTGCACATATGTAAATATATTCTGATGTAGGTATTGATCCACAGAACCTACAGTTGTGATACACTGGTAGTTTTGGCTTCCTGCATTCTATTGTGAGGAATATCAAATTTTCTTTTAAAAAAAGATTTAAAATTTTCATTATAGAGATCTTTGGTGTCTTTGGTCAGATTTATTTCAAGATATTTTAATTTTTTGCAGCAATTGTGAATGGGAGCATTTCCCTGTATTCTTTCTCCAATTGCTTGTTATTGGCATATAGAAAGGCTATTGATTTTTGTAGAGTGATTTTATCACCTGCCACTATACTGAAAGTGTTAATCAGTTCTAGGAGTTTTCTGGTGAAACTTTTGGGATCTCTTAGATATAGTATCATATCATCTGCAAAAAGTGATAGTTTGACCTTTTATTTTCCAATTAGTACTCCTTTAATTTCCTTCTCCTGCCTTATTGCTCTAGCAAGAGTTTCAAGCACTATGTTGAAAAAGAGTGGAG